ATTTCACATGCAAAGTATGATTGTCAAAATGGGGGATGTGTGATGTGTAGGTCCATAAGGAGCCGCGTGTGTAAACTGCCCTGGTGTATCTGTTGGATTCTTACTATACTAATTATATGATAATTAAAATGAAATAGAAATTCAAATTTATAAACAAAGAAAACAATTTAGCAGGGGTAAGAGAATTCGGCGTCACGGTAGTCATCACTTGTTTGAAAACAGTCGGTTGCGAGTTCAACCCTAAGCATGGCTGTTATCACCTATCACAGAGGTTTGACTGGATGCAGCGATAATAGGGGGTGTAAGTAGGTCACGGGACTACGCGAGACCTAACGTTATTTAGTACTTCCGGTGACAAACAACGTCCCGCTGCAATGGCGACAGCAGTGTCACGTAGGACAGGGCCCAGCGAATCATATTTGGAACTCGCAGGTGTAACTAAGAAAACCATGACACTGTCACAGGCATTAAAACACTTGAGATGGGGAACATGAATAGCAAGTGTTGGCTTGTCAAAGCAGTTGCAGTGTTGTCAAGACGTACAATGGTCGATGTCAAACTGGCCGCTTCCCATTCATAAATATTGAGGTAAGTTTTCACTTTTTGCACACTTCTGACAAGTTGGTATAATTGTTATTGTGTTGATAAGTCAATACTGATCGGTTCATCATCACCCGTACAATGGTGATGGCGTTGAAAAGCGAACATATAACATACGTTCTGAAGGTATTTGCAATATGCTCTCGGTTTATGCACCATACAATGTTATGGCAAATTTTCATTACATCTATCCTGAGCCTTTTCCAATAATAAATGTTCAGCTCTGATATGGAACGTCACAGAATTATATTTGTACATGTAGGTCCAGGGGAGATGACACAAACTATAGTCATATTTAAAGAAGGCCTATCATGTGCATGTTGGCAACGCAAATTTTGTCAATACTTAATGTTGTGCAAGGAGATTTATGGGGGTGCCTGTGTTAAAAAATAAGGATATGTGCCAATATCACGATGATAGTGTTATGTGCACTGAAAAATCAGGTTTGATTCAAACAAAAAAAATATTAATCTAATTTGTAAATAATGATGATTAAATCCTTGCAGTGTTTGTTTTTAAGATCTCTAAAAAGTGACCTCACTTAAATGTATTCTGTATGATGTGAATAGACTTGATCATTACAACCCCATTTAGCATTGGTTTATCATATTCAGTTGAAGTTACAATGTACATGCTTAATTTATTAATTATATCTTGATGTAGGCAATGTAAGAAATGGTTGGTATTTTAGAAGTATATATTATATGATCTCATAAGTGTTATTTATCTTTTGCAGTTGGACCATATTTCCTTGTTTGAGGGGGGAAAGATTTCCTCATCTTACTCACGAGTAGATGCATATGGATCACCAGAATTACCTTGATGGCAAGCATAACTGCACCTCAAGAGCATCTCGGACTATAACATATCTTCAGATTTCTGGGAATATTTTGTGGTCAAGCATTACATTGCCTATGAAAGAACAACTCTTGTTGTGTAAGCAGGTGTAAACATATTAAAGTTCTATCTGAACGTTTTGCTGAAGTATTGGCTCTGTAAATGATGTCTGTGACCATTAGAATACACCATATACACTGGACACTTGCTGGAACAGGACCTACTTGTCATCAACATGGTGTTGCAGAACATCTTGGGACTCTCTCATAACGTGCAGTGTGAATCTAGATACTGACACCAGTAATAGTGCATGCTGGCACATTTATTTGTTCAGGCTTGGCATTTGGGAATATTTGCCATGAATGTTTAATACTCATGACCTTTGAATAAAATTACTGAATAGATCTGAAACTTATTTATTGTTTTTTGTCTGAGATAATGCCATACAAAAGAAGTTTTTAAAATATTTCTGGTATCAGCCATGATACTGGATTGATATTGAATATAATATCATAACAATGCACATGGAATGTGTGATAATGAATTTCCAGTTTATGGGTCAAAATTTTCCAAGAAAATACAACAGATGCTTACCAATGAAAATTTAACTTAACCAATGGCATAGCAGTTGTTGCTTTTTGAAATGAATTCTTTGTTGAAATATCAACATGTCTTGTTTTTGCATCGCTGTTTTAGGGTCCAGCATACAAATTACAGTGATTCATAAAACAATAGCCAATAAACATTAACATTTCTTGACCAGTATTCTTAAAACAGATTGGTCCAAATGGATAGCGGAACATGTGAAATAACAGTTACCTCATTTATTTGACTTTATTTATTTATTGGCAGAATATTTGAAATACACAAAAATATGAAAAATAGGTGCAATTGTTTCTATCTCTGCCTCAAGTCAATATGGATGCACTAAATTGTGTTCATCAGTGTTGACTGAGTGATAAGTTGAATCTATTAATGTTTTGGACTTGTGGCAATTATTTTTACTTGTTTTAATTGAGCCTCACAACCAGAACTATTAATTTAAAAAACTCTACCGTTCATCAAAATTTATATTTTAATCTTGACCCTGCTATCAATCACAGTCTGCAGTGTTATAACAATTATATTGCTGACGAGGTGTAACACTTTTATTTCTTCGCTCAGAATAACATTACACTTCATTTATTAGTAAGTATCTTTCTTAATGTAGGACATGTCATTGGTGATCGCCACCATAATTCAGTGTATTTGTCTTGCATTTTGGCCACTTCTGACTTGAAGTTGCTGCATGCTGGATGCTGCTTCATCTTTTGGTTGCTGTACAGCAGAAATTCACTCCTGTATGACCACGAAAAACCCCATTCATGTTCTGCAACAACATAGAACTAGACATCAAGTACATTCACAGTGTAAGATTACCATTGTCCAACACCAGTTCTATTCATCACTTGACTTAACAAATAATGTTTACACAATTTGATAAATAATTTAAGTATATCACTGTGAATATTCATATCGAATACTAACAGCAGTTACTTGTTGGACAAACCTGAAACCACCTGAGACTAAGAGGTCTTTCATTAAAATATGCGAGGAAAATAAAACAATTTGACTTACATACTTTTAATATAACTATGCTAATGCATATACAAATGTATTTCGAAATAAAGGGGTATGTGTGTTTTACAGGCTAGGGTTTGATATATTTATTTCAAATACTAGATTATGGTAATCAATATAATGTATTGACTTGCCTTCATGGTTTTTTGATTAACTGTTGAGTGATTTGTGGCACTATTAGTTATTATGTTTATTCTCCCATATATTCTTTTTTGGTGCATGTTGATGAGAAGACCTTTATTTTATTCAATTTGGATAATTATTTTTGGGATCAATATATTTACAGGCAGGGCTAAGAAAATCTATCTGGCAATCTATCTATCTGTCTGTGACTGTCATTCATCCAAAGTAGAGGAAATCATTCATTTTCTCTCATTTTTTAATTATTTCGCAAAAACATTTTTTTTATTATTATTTTTTTTATTTTTTTAGGGGGGGGGGGGGGGGGGGGGGGATCTTTTGAATCTTTCTTATTGATTTCTGACATCCGCACTTCCATACAGTCATTCAGTACATGTAGGTGAGAGTAATCTTATGGTGCAAACTACCAAAGTGCAAGAAATAGTACATCTGCATTATTATATCTATTCACATTTAATTTTATAAGTAAGTTTCTTCTCAAAACTAACAAATTTCTTAATGGAATATTATGTACTTAATTAAAGGTGTGTGACAGAGTAAACATGGTAAATATGACCAAATATAGAGCATATTAAATTTTAAGTTCCAAACTAATGACTGGGTTATTAAGTACTATAATTACTAAAAACATAAATAAATACAATATACTAAAATGAATTTCACGTTTAAAAATATATTCATAGCATAGATTTTCCAAATTTCACCCTCCAAATCTTGCCTAATTTAATGCCTATTCAACCTGTCAAAGGCACGGCTTCCATGACACTGCTCGTGCTGTCAGATACCAGAATACCATGGTAAGTTGTGTAAAATGGCCTACCTATTAGTAGTTACATCTTCATAAATAATATTACATCACAGAAGCATGTGAAACATCCTCCGTAATCATAAAACACTGTCCACTGAGCCATAAATACACGTCTGAACGATAGTACCACTGGTTGTCAAAATTATTTTAAAGGTAGAGAAAAGAACACATACCTTCGGTCCAATGGTTGTCAGTTGTCAGTCAGGAACCGATAAACCTGACAGTAATTACAAATAACCGATCATGTTATTCTGAAATAAGTAAACCTTTACGACTGTCAACAGCGGTGACAACCAAGCGTGGTAGTTTACTTGGTACCGTCTACAGAGTGAGCTTTGGCGGTCGCGAGTATAGGCATGTCACCGGAAATGCTGGCACCGGAAGTAGGGCTTCGCCAGACTTGCGGGCCCTATATAGAGAGCGAAAGGGCTATCGCGGTGAGGAGCTTGGGATATGACACACAGACCTGGTGATGCTGACTCACCTCACCTGGCCAGGTAAGACTTTCACCTGCTGACGTGACACACGTTTGGCGATCTTACTCTTGTCAAACTAATATGTACAGTAAACAGTTGAAACGTATTGTATCATATGCCACCAAAAACGTTGGCAACAATGCAGTTTACCGGGCGCAGCCCGAGCTCTACCATCCGCTCAATTACCGCGCTATAGTGCCACCGCTGTCTCGTTATACCGTTACCGTGCCTCACGCTCTGGTGACTCTCTCTTCACGATCCAACACCCGTTTTCGGTCTTAGGGAAAGTTACACATCTTTACAATCAAACACCCGTTCTCGGTCTTAGGGAAACTTACACTAGCAGCCACCATCGCCGCTAGGCGGCGCGCTCATCCTCTCTCTCGGTTCCGGGTCCATTCCGACCTCACTGACAGCGGTGTCTTTTACGCTTTCATGTGGAAAATTCCAACAGCCTTGAACTTGGCTAGTAGCAAAGTTCATACGTCATATGAATAAATTACAAGTATATTGCCATTTTTTCCCCAGTTGTTTACTTCGGAAGAATTTACACTGCTTTGAATTACGAATCTAGACAGAAAAACAAATCGACAGCCATATACGCTACAGGTAACGTAAGTTTCTTGTTCTTTAGACATTATCTGACGTTTCCTGAACTTGGCCAGGCATGGCAAGAGGAGTAGGACAGACTCCCTCAAATCCTTAGTGGGAGACTCATACGCAGTATGACTGAATGACTCATACGCAGTATGACTGAATGAATGAATGTTTAAAATATCTTGACAGTATTACGCACTACTGATCCTAAAACATCAGCTTTGAAATATCCCATCTTACCCATAATAGGAGTGTAAATTTGTAAAGACAATTTCTCTTTGTATTTATAAAGAGTCTACTACACTAGTGTTCTCATGTTATTTTACCATCTTCTTAAACTCTATCAAGTCTTCCAAGGGGGCGTGGGTGGCCAAGTCCTCTGTAGCGCAGGTCTCCCCGAGTTTCCGTTGAGGCATGTCAGCACCATGCCCGAGCTCGTGGAATCATTGTCTCTTCCACCTTATAAAAAAGCAATCAGGATGCAGGAAAAAATGAATGGATCCTGGTTTAAGCTGTTGAAACGTTGTTACTCTGCGAGCGAGTGAGTAAGGGTCAACGCCGCCTTGAACGGTATAACAGTTATTTTCACAGATTGTGATGAAGTGATGCAGGTCTCGGACGTTTACCAGTTTGGTGAAGCCCACGAATACGGGCATTGTGCCTACAAATCTGAAACATAATCGGGGCGCCTCAGGATTCGATCCCGAGTTCATAAGTTCTTTCACATGAATTGCAAAATATTGTCGATACGTTTGTGACAGTGCCGGGGAAAATAGCGTAATGATATCGCAAAAATGTCGAAACAATGCCGTGAAATGTGGAGATTATTTTAAATGACATGCTGTACCACATTTGTGACTCAATATTCGCACCTAACAGTTTACAAATACTCGGAATCGAACATACAGAAGTAAGCTCAGTATTTCCTGCATTATATAATAAGCATGTGCAGAATAGTTTTTTAATATTTTATCAAGTATCAAGCTTCATACGGTCATTTCTTGATGGTTTGTTTTCTGCAAGTAAGCAACATATTCCTCGGAGCCAGCGCTTGTCTTGGAGTGATTATTTGCAACAAGAGTTAAAGTCGTTATCACCTTAGTGACGGTGTAAACAAAAAACAACACACACTCAGCATTGTCATCGGCTTATGGCGTATCGCGTTACCTAATATATAGGTAAGTGCAAATCTTCATCAATATAGTTATCCCTAGGTTTCATTTCAACCTATTATAATGTAGCAACATGTTCAGTTGTTCCATTCTTCTCCAAGCTGACACAGATATATGACACAAGAGGGTATGATGAATATCAAATCCTTCTGACGTCTGATAATGGCCATAACAGACGCACAGATGTATATATATATATATATATATTGGATAAAATGCTTGACCAGTTAACAGCCTCCACTATAAGGGACTGTTGGTACAATGTTCATCGGTGTATACGCAGTGTTTCTGTGTTACCAAACACGCATTTTCTAATGTGTGACATGCAGCAATAATCTGCAGCTGCTTTCATCAGACCATGGATACGTTGTCACGTGATCAGATCCATATGCAGTCGAACCATGCATCAAAGCCAATCAAAGTCTCTTCAGTGGCTCTGTATGACATACGTGCGTCATGGAAGTCAATAAATTGCAAATGGAGTGCCCCTTGCAGCTAACTGAGTGCCATGGTAACGTGACTGTGCTGGTTAAACAATAATTGATAATTGCCACTTTTTATACCCCTTTTTGCATTATTATCAAAGTGCTTTTCCTGAAACGCGAGGGTAGCATGCTCCACGCTCATGTCTGTGCTTGGGCGACAGAGTCAGTGATTGTTAAGCCTTTTCTCGAGATCGATAGCCATTCAATATATTTAGGTCTTGAATCTTTTATTTTTATAGACGGGTATATCACTGTTCTTTATTTTGTCACGGAATGATTAATTCAATTCAAGGTGTATGTTTGTTTCACGAGAAACCAAACTATTCTAACACACATATCCACACTGAAAGCTCGTACGTTTTAATTAATTCAAGATACTAGAAAATTATATGTTTTTAAGACAGAAAAAAGCTCACACATACATTATATATTTACACACGTATTCATGGGTACTACAATTTTTGATGTTATGAACAATCAACAATACCTTTTTTCAATATCTATAATTATATAATGATGATTGTATTAACATTGCAATGTCTGCATCCACTATACGTTGACAATAATCAGCTGATTGTACCAAATAAAGCTCATTCTTAATTCTATAAAAAGTATTTAACCTGCTTTTTATGTTTCCGTATTCGTAAGCTTATTTTTCAAATTCCCACACAAATGAATTTAATATGTTTATCTCTTTTTTTCTCTTTAAATTACTAGATATCTGCACTGTGCAATGTTTATTTTATTTAATATTATCTTTTGAGGTAACATTTTCAAAAATGAGCGGGTATCATTTATCTGTAAATTAGAAATTTGTTTTTGCATTTTGAAGTGAATACTATTATATAATTTTAAGTGTGTTTTTTTTTATAATGTCGACTACTGTTTAAAAGTTGCGTTTTAATCTATAAACTTTTATGGTTTTTTTCAAATTCCGTTTTGCCTACTGATCTTACAGCAGGCCATGTAGTAACGTTTATTATTCATATGATGAGAACATGAGGTACCCATGAATATGTGTGTATGTATATAATGTGTGTGTATAACATTTTCTGATATTTAAAATTAAGACAATACCAATATATCAAGTCTTTGATATCAAGTTCTCAATATAGTGTCTATTTTTTTATCTAAATTGAAATGTCATCATGGTAGTAAGCCATCCATTCATAACCCTTGTTTATACATAATGCTCTAATTAACCCTATTAAATATCAAAATGGATTTAAGTGATTGCCATTTCTTTTATTTATATTTTTGTTTTTATTATGATATGCTGTTAATGAAAATATTTCTCACTTCTCTCAGTTATATCATATTTACAATTGAGTGTTTCTTTTGATAAGTACATGATATGGGAAGAGACTGACATTTCTGATAACATCACTGTTCTTACTCTGCATGATAGAAATAATATTGTTAATTGCAGTATATTTACTGAAATATGTTACAATTAACTTGATTCGTAATTCAGAGAAGGAGTGACATTCATAGAAAGTGTGCAATTCATCTTCAACAGCAAAAAAACACTTTAAGCTTGCATGACATCCAATATCTTTCATTATCAATTATATTTCCATTATCTGCCAGTGTCTCAACAGCAAGCTTAACATTGCAACATCAAAATCTGGAATAGGATTTCCTCAAATGTTGTGGAAGATCACCTATGCTTAAATACTTTTCAAGATTTGAAAGTGATATAATCTGGTTATAGTGAAAACGCTTATGATTTGGGGGTGAGGATGCTTGCCATGACTGAAAGAGATTATCGTGTAATCTTTGCTTAAAAAGTGCATTGAAGGCTGCTTTTTTCCCCTTTTTCAAAGCGAATCCAAATCCACATTTAAACTGAATATTTCTTATTAATGTTGCCCATGTCTTAGTTTTATTCAAATTTACTTTCAAGCCAGTATGTTTTACAAAAAGACTTTCAAGTACAGTAACTTGAAACTGCAGTTGTGAACAGGTGTCGGGCATTGCTGAGACATCAACATCATCATAAGGGAGCACAAACCAATAGTAGAAGAGGTAACAGTAATACCTTGACCACCCTCTCTGTCCATAAGGGTACATGAAATTGTTTATTGAGATAATAATTATTTGTGCACTTAAAACACATCCCTGACGGGTGCTAATGTTACAGGTAAAACACTCAATTATATACCTTTAAGGGTTCTAACACAAACAGATAAATCATTATACATTGGCGTGATTATTTCCAAAACTTGTGCAGTGCAGGAGAACATGTCTTAGAGTCAAATGCCTTTGAATTGTCAGTGAAGGGGCAGTAAAATCTGCCTCTTTTCTTACCAATGTATCTTTTTTAAATAACCTGTAATGAACAAATGTTATCAGTAGTGGAGTATTGAACCCTAAATCCAGCTTGCTGTTCATTAATAATATTATTATTATTATACCAATTGTGTAGACGGCTGTTCGAAGTAGACCTAAATACTTTAAATATTGAGTCTATGAGAGAACTACATCGGCAGACTTGACTTGACTTGAAGAGAGGACGTATAGTACCCTCATCCCAGCAATTGGGGAATCTGTCACTATCACAAATGAGATTAAAAAGGTGAGCAAAATGTAAGTAAAGGGTATAGTCAGATGCCTAGAAGCTTTTACAAATCTGGTCCTGGTCCAATAAAGGCCTCGTGTCCCACTGACTTCCACCTATGTGTTCTCTGTCCATTATGTTGAGACAGTATTATCTTTCTGTTACTTACATGTATGCAATTGTTGTAACTGTTAATCCTCTACTGTTAATCCTCCACCTACTTAATATATACTGTACAATGTCCCCCATTCAGTCTTGCTTGACAACGGTATAAGGATCTAAACAGGAACGTCGCCTTTACTGTGTTAAAGAAGTTGTCATCCATAAATTGTGTCTACTTTGCTATCCGTCAACTTATAAGTAATGCCTATCAAACAAGTCATTCGTATGGTGGCTTCAGTCTTCAGAGCTCAATAGCATGTATGTAGTCATCTCTAGGATGTTTAATGTATAATTACAGACGCATGACGAAAGAACAGTCTACATATTCAGACATGTTGATGTGTCACGTACTACTAATCATGCTGGGTGAGTATATCTATTCAAAAATACATTTGTTATAATTTGAGTACTTAACTCAACTTAATATGTGCATGAAAGGAAAGTTTACAGGTTCTTTGCTTGAAACTAAACTACAATTACTCATGATTGTTTTAGTAGAATATAGACAGTCATTGTTTGGATGGTTATTTGAACTATATTTTTGAAAATATAGTCAGTAAGAAAATAGCCTTGCTTATATATTTTCTTATATTACATTGTGTATGTTGCAGTATGGAATGTCAGAGCTGACCAAAACTGTCCATGGGGCAAATATGGAGATGGATGTGACAAAAACTGCTCTGATCACTGTAGGATATCACCTGATCTGGGCATTATTCACTGTGACAGGACCAGTGGAAGTTGTTCTGAAGGATGCATTCCAGGCTGGTATGATGATACATGCAATAAAGAATGCAGCAAGAACTGTATCAACTACACCTGCAATCACCAAGATGAAGTGTGTACAAGAGGCTGTAAAGATGGCGAAAAGGGGAACTTTTGTGAAAGTATGAATTAGAAAATGTAATTAAACTGATCACACAACATATGTGTTCGTGTTCTCCAAAGCCGCCATTTTGAATTCAAGTGACAAAAGTATGTCATGGCATAATATGAATTTGTTTCTCAGGGTATTGAAGAAGAGTCACCAGGAACCTGCCGTAATGTTCCAGCCATTATTTGCAAGAACTTGTCAGATATTTTACGGATTATCTCCCTGATCGTTAGGAGTGTAGTTAATTCCGCTGGCCATAGGTTAAATACATGGCAACGCGCAGGTAAAAGTACTAAGTTGACACATGACGAATCCCCTTATTTTAAAAACAAAATGTTTTGTAATGACACTTCAACACTGAATCAAAATTGAGTAAGTGAACAGTGGCATATGTGGCCCTTATGTTAAAACTGAATATGTTTTGTTTTGCACAGGGCCAGGATACAAAATGAGTTCAAATCAGCAGAAGCCGTACATTTCTATAGTATATTATCAACAGATGTATGTTGATGAATTTTGTCTTGCAAGACCAACTCGTGTTATTCCGGGAAAAGCCAAATGCCGACTCGGCCTGTCTTGTGGCCATTTTTGCGTCTTGGTTCCGTCTATGTGCGAACGGGCATTACCATGAAAAATTGTCAGCTTGTTGTGTAACGATCCAAGTATATTCTCCCCATATACAATACATTTTGCAGATGCTATTTAAAACACATCGGACTTAAGTCTTTATACAGTATGATTGCATCAGTATCCATGGTTACTCTTGAATTAACCAGGGGCACAAGGAAGTGCAGTTGAGAAGAGATGAACGAAACATCTCTTTATAATGACACAAATGCTATTATCGATCTTGTAATAACCACCAAAAGCAGTGAGGTCTTACAGAATTATAACCTGATTATATGTGTATAGTTTCAGGGGAAGAACATGAAACCAAGGGGAATGACAACACAACACCTCTATGGAAGATACTCGTCCCTGTTATTGGCTTCATTTTTGTGTTGCTATTCTTCATGGTTCAAATCGGTATCGGAGGGTAAGCATTGGCATCTCTCAATGTATATAAATGCTTTCAGTGGGCTTATGTATGTCGGTCGCACCTGAAACTGTTACAAGCTAAACATATCCCAAAGCATATCCAATAAACAAGAACTAATTATCCCAGCAACATGTTTAGTTTTTGTTTGTATGTGATTGCTTGCACTTGTAATTAATCAATGTAACTGGTAACTATGCGGTAGTAACAGTACATAGAGATGCAATTGCAACATGCTTGCATCTTCTTGCATCTGAAATATAATAAGTGTTTGTTCATGTAATTAGTTTAATTTGATGATTTATTTCCTTTTCAGTCAAAGGAAAAATAGTAAGTGTAACACTTTGAATTGAATTTTCTACGTTATTGCTCAAACTGGAGTGAGGTTACATAGTCACCTTCCATTAATGTGATTAGCTCAATAACACTATTTATTGTGAGAGTAGTGATACATTACGTTCCATTCATTCATAGATCTACAACCAACTACGTGATCAATTTGAGTTCAATGTAATAATATAATATAACAAAAACTATAGCAAAAGTAGAGGATATTGGGAATCATCAAGATATATATTCTCATCAACATGGTACTGGAAAATGGATATCATGTGATCATTTCTGAGGAGGATTAGATCGAGTTGGTTTCGAAAAGTTTATGTAATGAGATGGTTGCAGAACACTTCGTTAAATAGGTCGGGTGTCAAATTCGAATTTTGCATTTTGCAGACAGCGTCGCTAATAACGAATAAAACATGCACGAATTCTTCGAGGCATGCTTCTGATGTCAGCTTGGCTCGGGTTGTTTGTGTTGTTCGACTCATCTCTAAAAGCAACTGCGACTTCGTTAGAAGAGGGGAATTGATTTTGACGTTGACGTACACGTCTGCCAATGGGTTTAACGGGGTAAAGGTCAGGACAGAGTTGGGGCCATGGCAGGACATGGCTGTTTTGCTGCTGGATGAATGAGTCATAATCCTGATGCGATGAGCACATGCATAACGGTTCATTTATAACATCTTCAAAGATGAGATGTTGGCCATTACGTTGTGCAAATGCCATTAACTGGTGATGCTATGATGTTGTCCCGTTAGTATTGATCTGTGACTCCGCCATGGACAAAATTGAGCCCATAAAACGCTCATTGGGACGTCTCAAAACTCGATTCCTTCTGTTGTTGATGTCAAAAGTGAACCTCGATTCCTCAGAAAACATGACATAAGCATAAAGTCGATTATCCCAGTGCTGGCGTTCCCTACACCACTGACGTCTCTCATTCAAATGACGTGCAGTAACTTGTGGGATGACACTGACACGTGGACGTATTTGTATATGCCACCTGTGCAGTCGATTTCGCACCGTCAGGGTATGCGCTATTACACCAGTTGCCTATTGCAACCGGTCCCTTATGTGAGTGGCAGTTTGCAACCGATTTCTTATTGTCATCGTTTATACTAGTAATCTGTCCCTGACTGAAGTTGCAATTGATAGTCAAGAGCGGCGTCGATCATTGACGTTATGTATTTGGTGTAATGTGTTGATGTTAGATGGAGAAACATGCAACAATATTATAACGTGAGCCCACCTGCAACATGCATGTGACACGTAAACGTTCAGCACGTTGCAAAGGTAGCATGATCAATCCTGTTGCTTCCTTCTTGATTAAATGTGTTTAATATAGTGTCGGGAATGTTTTTGCGACATTAATCCCTTTCATATTGTCAACCAATGCTTGCCGTAAAAGGCGACTATGCTTGTCGTAAGAGGCGACTAACGGGATCGGATGGTCTGCTCGCTGACTTGGTTGATGTATGTCATCGATCCCAATTGCGTGGATCGATGCTCATGCTATTAAGCACTGGACTGTCTGGTCCAGACTCGATTATATACAGACCGCCGTCATATAGCTGTAATATTGCTGAGTGCGGCGTTAAACAACAAACCAACAAACAAAACTAATCAACCAAATCATATTGTCTCCAGTGTTTTCCAGTAGTTTCACCACAAAGCATAATATCCCCTACCTTTTTAGCACAGTAAACAAACTCAATAAGCATGAAAAAACTTGTTTTTATTCTCATAATGTCGCATTGTTGCATTGTCATGCTTGTTTATTAATGGTGTACACATGTAGTTTACTGCAAGTGAGTTAATTGTTATACGCCAATGGTTTCTAAAACAAAAGTACCAATGGCAATGTGGGTTGTTTTTCTCATCATTCCATCGTTGCTTTAGAAACTATTTCATCTGTCGTAATTGTCTGTAGCGTTTTTTTATAAATTCTTTGCATCTCTATTTACTGATCTCATCAGATCTCATCAGATTGATGAGGGCACACGGTTGGCCTTATCATTTTAGACGGCCCAAAGTCGCTGTTCAGAGTTGTGTCTTCTAGACGCATAATAATATATAAAACTATGACCTTTGGTCCAAATCCCAGCACACACATCACTTAGGGATGCTGATACTCTGTGAAATAACTGAAATATTGTTCAAATCGGCGGTACATCAAACTCACCTACTCTCTCAACCGATGAATTCGCTGTGCATAGTGGCGTCTGGCCGTGCCAGAGACTTATGATCGAATTGCCGGTTCATCCTGTTCATGTTTTTCTTTTGGATCTACATCACTTCCGGCTTTACTCCCACATCAAGCCTATACGCCGTGACATTACGAAGATACTGTTCAATGCGGCGATAAAAAAATATCCACTCACTCACAAAGGATATCCCTTTTTGACCTTGTCGTAAGAGGCGACTAACTGGATCGGGTGGTCAGGCTCGCTGACTTGGTTGATGCATGTCATCGATCCCAATTGCGTGGATCTATGCTCATGATATTATTATAATCATTGGATCCAGACTCGATTATTTACAGACCGCCGACATATAGCTGGAATATTGCTGAGTGCGGCGTTAAACAACAAACCAACCAACCTTTTTTGACGAAGTGGCGATTACAGAGCCTCCTGTAAATTAAGAGCGTATTTTACAATAATGTCTTTGCTTTATTTGATTCCGATTCGTAATACATCAAACTTCAGCTAAGATCCCTCTGTACGGACATATGCTTGCGTTATTGTTGTGATTGACTTCGATCCCTGGGCGCAGTCCTCATTGATGAAAAATCATGTTTTGTATAAATATTATAAAAATACGCAGTTAATTTAACTAATGATAGCCCGACAATGTGACGTGATAATTTTGATTAAATGTCGCATTGTCGCGTTGTAGCGCTTTATCAAAATATTGAAAATAAAAAAATACTACAAGCGCGACAATGTAACAAAACGTTTTCAAATGTGCTCTTTTGTATCGAAAGAATGATATAATTTGATTTGCTGAATGTGGCCTGGCTCTTAAAGGGCACGTTCACGCGAAAATACTTTAATACTTTAAAGTTTACACTGTTTCATGCTGATTGGCTGAATGGTAGTCACGTTATCTGTAATTTGGAGTTGCCACACCTGTGAATGGACAGACAAGTTCACACGATTGGAACATTTTTTTTGTGAAATTGGTCGTGTGAACTTTTGCTTGAACTACTTTCATGGTTTTCTCCGAATTATCGATCGGTGTTTACAATCAACTCGTTTTTCTATTTTCTTTTTAATCCCTGCACTTATCAGCAAGATAATTAATTTAGTATTTTTGCCTGGTCTTGTAACATTTCATCTGACTTTTGATGTCATCTGTGTTTGATGTCGTCTAGCTGCTACATGAAACAAAATGGATTTTCCTTATGGTAACATGAATTGGATATGGAATGGCTATCTTTCACTACAAATAACGTAATAAATACTGCACAATTACTGAGGTGAACGAAAAATTGTTTTGAGCGATACCAACTTTGATGCCTTGTTTTCGGAAATAAGAGGAATCTAGCACCAAGACAATTGCAAATGAACACTATGTTCTACCCTGCTCAGATGTGGTCGCAGACACTGATCAAAGCGACTGCTCCTGATCAATTCCAAACTAAAACTCGATTCACAATCGTATCAGAAAAAATACCTACAAGATTTTGAGAAACCAAGACACAGCAAATCTACATGAAAAAACATTGTCTTAATAGCCTCTGAAAATGTTCAATGGTAAGCCAAATAAAATTAATCTAGCTTTTAAAAAAAATAAGACATAACAAGGTAAGGAAAGAAACTTAAAATTTAAAAAACACACACCAAAAACAACAACTTGCCTACATGTTTATATATAATATACTTAACCGACTGGTCATCGGAGACGAGAAAATATCCGTAGACGAATTACCATTCCGGTTTCTGAGTTGGCCGACCTTCTCCGAGCATTCTAGACCAAGCAGCGGCGGAACATCAGGAAGGACGGGGCACAGAAATGAAGCTGACATTAGGCCATACAATAGGTCCATCTCAGGTGACAAGAAACACCAGCTCAGCAAAGTATTACAGCACACGCGACACATCCCAAACTCCAAATATAACACACCCTGACGTTAAAAGTTAACACGAAACACACAAGATTCCGAACACTACCTTCAATCCCCACCGGACCATTCAACATTGTCGAATTGGTTTGCGATTATCCAAACACAAGCAACATATTCATAAATCAGTCATATTCCCAGTTTGCTAGAACCATGGGAGGGTTCATATGTCGGTCGTTTTCCATAACTGTCGATAAGCTTTACTTTCAACAACAGTAAAGTAAACATTTCATCCTCATGCTCCCGTTCGACTCAAAATGCACCCCTTTACAAACACAGGTGACGTCATACATAAATCCGCACTTGAAGGTTGACCTCGCCTCGATGCATCATGTGTATACATGTATTTCAGTTCACTTTCTTGTTACCTATTTTTAAGATTTGATTAATCCCAAACATTTTTTGTCAATTTGTTCAGAGCATAAGATTATATTGATGTTGACATATTTTCAGATTATGTTGTATATATTTAAAGATCCGTTTTTCTCAGCCTTAATCTTGGTATGAGTTGGGAAACGTATGTAACCAAGAGCCTTCAAATATCGACAAAATAGCATTAACCTATTAGTTTTAGAGGCAAAACAATACACATATCACAAGTATCTAATTTATTTTATTCCTTAAATCGGCTCATATTTTTCACATTTGATTTTTATTAATTATGGCCTCATAATGGAGGATAAAACGTTTCCTTGCAAGTTTGCAATGCTATTTTCTATGAATGGTTGTCCAAACAAACCTACAACCAATTATCTATTGAATATATATAGGCCTAAAGCAATAATTGGTTTCAAACATGGAACACATCAATGGAGTGATCTATCGTTTCTTTTTCAAATGGAGACGGGTTTTTTCGGCGGGTGCTGGTGCTTGTGAAATACAAAATCCAGTTACTTATCAATAAAATATGGCAGTTATGTTGTATTCGGATGGGAAGAAAATCAAAGAGAATATTTTCCCCCCAGTACGTTTCCACTCGGCAACCGATTTGAGAAACTACAGGGACGTACCCCATCGTTGTGTTACTCACAAGGCGTGGTAAATTCTCTTAGATATTACGTATCCGCTTCTGAAAATGTAATAATGAGCATGAAGGTAATTTAGGTATACACACATCAAAGTGTTATTTGTGGTTGTGGAGATGTCGAGTCTGGGTCGGGTGACACATCAGGTGATGTGTGTTTTCTCTAGGTTTACACTTGATTTTCATCGTTTCTATGCTGCGAAACTTGCTTGTGTTCGTTCATAAGTGTATGATTTTGCGATTTCTTGATGGGTCAAGGGAACTTCTGACTTGTGTGATCATAAACTGGTACTTGATATTGTTATGAGAATCCATTATATATGTATATTTACTTTTCATGAATAATATATCAAATATACTTTTGTTAGCTTTTATAAAATGTATATCCATCCCTTTGTTACATATACTGAAGAACAAAAGTTCCTGTGACATTGAATACGAATAATGCAAAGTTATGTTTTTTACCAAATCTGAAACAATTTCGGTTGGCAGCAGATAAAAGACTCATGTAAGTGTTTAAATGGTTTAACTTGCCATACTGACTTCAGAAAATGCGTGATTTCATAAAAACAACCATGAACATGCCAAAATATCAATTTACAAATCAATAGCGTGTGTGTCCACCTCTGGTTGCGATGCAAGCAACACATCTTCGTCTCATGGAATTGACCAGGCGTCCTGTGGGATATCTGTCCATATCTGCTTGAGCTTGTTTCGAAGTTTCTGGAGTGTCTGTGGAATTCGTGGTTGACGTCGAAGGCGCCGAACCATCTCATCCCACATGTGCTCGATTGGTGAGAGATCAGGGGAGCGAGCCGGCCAGGGGATGACATTCACGTTGTTTTGTATCTCCCTTAGGTTATGACATAATTGGTGATAATTTAACTGGGCCCCTGTCTTGTCACAACGCAGAAGATATATATATATATATTATCTCCCTTAGGTTATGACATAATTGGTGATAATTTAACTGGGCCCCTGTCTTGTCACAACGCAGAAGATATATATATATATATATATATATATATATATATATATGTGTGTGTGTGTGTGTGTGTGTGTACATGTAAGAACATCAAAAGTAAAAAGACAACAAAGGTGGAAACTTAACAAGGGAGGTCAAATGATAATTTGCGCAGAAAGGCAATTAGAACTACACACTGAAGGCCACCACTTAAAAGTAATTAGCGCTGATAGTTATGGACAGCTGGAAGCCAGGACTAAGTAACACTGATAGGTACAGAGCAATGGACAATGGGGAAGCGGGGGGCCGGGGGTAATTAGCACCGATAGGTAAAGGAAATAGAATAAGCAATGGAAGCCAGCTAGATAATAGGCACTGACAAAGATCCAAGAAATAAGTCCCAAGCACTAGACACATATGTTCCCTGGTCACGGTTCATGGCTGGCTGATGTCTCATGATGTCTGTGTGTTTTTTTCATTTTTCTCTGTCGCCAGTTGTTGTTAGTGGTACACAAGCCTTTGGTGGCTTCCAACATGATGTTATGGTCCTGGTTCTCGAGGATTTGTTCGGAAATAGCGGATTTCAGGTCTAGTTTATTGACAGAGATCTGATGTTCTTTGAGTCTGGTGTTGAGGGGTCTGAGGGTTTCTCCAATGTACTGGTGGCCACAGTTGCAGGGGTCTGGTATATACATCTTCGGGGGTTGGGACTGACACTGCTTGTGCCTCTGCCGTTATACATAGCTAAATGTTAAGTTAACACATACAGGCATAGATATGCTCAGCGAGAATGCGTAGATGGGTTTGGAAGTCACTGAAAAGTATTGTTATCCCCTAGAGGCTACTTGTTTACTGAAGTCGTTGATGCATTTATGCTCAAATCAACTTAACATGTATTTCCACGGGACGATAGTGACTTCAGAACCCATTTTTATTAGAAGAGGTATATTTCAGTGCGATTCATTAAGTCCTTTGCGTTTGTCACTAAATAAGCTTTTTGCTTAGCCAAGAGGAGGTTTACCACCCTGGACCTCCTTTGCACAGACCCCTAACACTCCCTACTTACCCCATTTCAATGGATGGCCTTGACATTCTTGCCAAAGGAGAATCCGCTCTAAATTACTCGCAATAAAGACAAAGCCACATGTATATATAGTGTGTGAGTACATACATGTATTCAAATGTATATCATTACCTTTCTTTAAACAATTTGACTGAAGAGTTGATATACTTGGTCAAGTCGATAAGGATATGCCTATATTCTGTACACATAAGAGTCATATATTTTTTAATCTAATGTTAACGCAATGCATAAATGAATGGAACAATAGATGATAAACCTCAATGCATTCGTCTGCCCATCGCCATCTGTTGAGTTATGATGCAGAAGTCGAAGGTATATGAAGTAATGATGATTTCATATCTAAAAATCAGAGGAGGAACATGGCACGTGTCCCGTGATATCACAGGGGAGAAACACAAAACAAACACTGCTTTATGATGGATATTATATTAAGCCTCAAAGGGAGTTTGGGATAGGTGTTGTTTGTAAAGGGTAAAACATTTCAATGACGTCATATGACCATACGGGGACATGGGTGTCCCAGTCGTTTAACACGACAGACACAAATGACTATCCAAAGGCGTCCATTCTTCGTGACAGTGACAGGTCGCATCACATATTTGCCTGATCACATTGCTTTGGTAAACAACTAGGATCTGCATGGGCTTGCTCCCACATTGAGTTCAAACGCCACGATGTAACTAAAATAATGCTCCAAGAAGCATTACAAAAACCTGCATAGTCACTATGAAATCGCGAATTCCTTGTTGACTCTTTCTTTGTAACATAGTTTCATATCACATGAGCTGCTTGAAAGACATTATTAACAACACTCTGTACGCATGGACAATATTATATCTTATCCTATCCTTATTTCAACACAGGGTTACTCAAATGGCCAATTCCTGACTCACCACTACATAAGGCCAGCGCTGAAGGGAATCTGGACCGCGCGAAAGAGATCATGCATGAGGATTTATTAAATGCCAACTCTCGAGGGTCGTATGGATTGACACCATTGATGTTGGCAGCATTGAATGGGCACTACGATGTCTTTGAATATCTCAAACAAGAAGGAGGTGATATGACACTAAAGGATCGTGGCGGGGATCACATTCTCAGCATGGCCTGTGTGGGGGGAAATATGGACATAGTAAAGTATGTAGTCTTACTTAAACCTACCCTTATAAACAAAAAGAGAATCGACGGAAGAACCGCATTGATGTGCGCTGCATGTCATGGGAAGAAAACCGTGTTTGAGTATCTGCTGGATGAAAATGCTTTGTTAATAGACAATAATGATGGAGACAATATCCTTCATTATGCCTGCCATGGAGGACACATTGACATTGTGAAACATATCATCAATAAGGCAAAGCTAAATATCAACACTAGAGACATACTTGGAAGAACAGCATTAATGATAGCAGCTACGTACGGACATAAAGATGTGTTTGAATTACTTGTTGAGAAAGACAGTGACATATCACGCACAGATAAGGAAGGAAACAATATACTCCATATGGCATGCCGTGGAGGACATGTGAAGATGGTGGAGCATGTCCTCTCACAGAAATATATTGACATCAACTGCCGAGGGCAGTATGGGGGAACACCACTGATGTTCGCAGCATTTCATGGACGCAGGGAGGTATTTGACCTACTTATGACGAAAGGAGCTAATGCAACACTTGTTTGTAACAAGGGGAACAACCTCCTACACGTGGCTTGCATTGGAGGATCCGTAAAAATGGTGAAGCACATCCTGCAAAAGGGCCTAGTGGACATTGACAGCCAAGGACAGGAAGGGAGGACACCGCTAGTGTTGGCAGTACAGTGGGAACGAGGAGCAGTGTTTGACTTACTTGTGAGCGAACAAGCTTCCATGGTTGCAAAACGCAAGCACCACATGAAATTGCGTGACATCCTCGCGTCAAAAGACGGTGAAGTATGACGAATTACATAACACGCCCACGAATGTCCAGAACATATTATTAGTGACGTTGGTATGAATAAATATGGATGAAACTTGATGTGTAATTCAAAACAGTAAAGACAACACAGCGAAAAGATTAGCTCCTCATTATGACATTGAAGAATCTTTTTGATTTTGGGTACGCAAGAAACATATGATCGTGTGTCCGAATCCCCGTTCGCTCCAGTTCTATTCCTAGGCTGGTCAGCACATTCACGTGCTCGAGGATTTCACCAAAGTGCTAACAGTCTGAGACATGTGTCATAGCGACCGATTTGGGACAACCTTTGTCTGAAATGAACAGTCAATTACAAAGGTTCATTACATTACCCTGTATAGTCCGTCAACCTAATTTGTAGACACCGTTTTTCTCAAAATAAATCTAATTAGTTCAAATTCATGTAATAATATGTACACACATCGAAATATTTCCCTGTGCCAACGTTTTAACTTTCTTAAACTCTTGTGAAAAAGCTCCGGGGTAGAATAGGTCTTCAGGAAACCATGCTTGCAATAAAAGGTGCTATGCTTGTCGTAAAAGCCGACTAACGGAATCGGGTTCTCAGGCTCGCTGACTTGGTTGATGCAGGTAATCGATCCCAATTGCGTGAGATTACACAACAATTTGAAGCGTCATCGGAGGTTTGACATCTTGCTTGTACATGTTTCACTAATACTCCAACTTGAGGTACGATTGTATAAGGTGTCCATCTGTAAATAAGCACATTTTTGGAATTTTATGTTTACTGTCTGGTGCTGACACTCGTTGGAAACAACTGTTTCTCAGTGTCGATCTCGCATGCAATTTTCTCATACCAAGCACTGACAACATACAGGCTTAATACATGTCTGATCTTATTTTTCATATCCTTCTACTTCTATTTCGTGTTAGTAATAATATAGCTTACATGTGCACGTGTCTGTGACATTCGCACAGCGTGACTCTTCAGCGTTGTTGTTTCTTTAGTTAGTTCGTATTTATGCCTTAGTTATTTGGGTTTGTGTCAAAATTATAATAATATCGCCTGAGGTACTTGTCTTGCTAAACAGTCCTTGTGTGGGCATCGTTTACTGCAATACATGAACGCTGAGTCGGGTTTACATCTTTACATGTTTGTCAACTGTGTGTTGTGTAATGTTTGATTTCAGATGTTTGAAATTTGGAATTGTCTTTGATTTCAGCTTTGACCACACCAACAGTGATCGTATTACATATTGATTATATCTACTATTTATCTTTTGTTAACACGATTGTTATATTTGTTACAGATTTGTGTGGTTACACAGTTTGCTTCAAATGTATTGTGTTTTTTAAAAGTTATGAGAAAGGACATATTTGCCTTGTAGTTGTAGATTCTTTCATGCTACTTACTACACAGTTGTAACTTATTTATAACTTGCTTCTCATTACTTAGAACTTTGAATAAAACAAGACATGACAGCAGTATTATGAGTCTTTTTTCAACTTCACTACTTTAAAACATTTCTTTATATGAAATAAGCTTCACGCGGTCTACCCATGTGGAAATTCGAACACTTTCTTCTGATGAGCCTTGCTGTATAAATACTTCATAGAGGAACTCAGCTTATTAACAAGTTTTGTTCCTCCAAGACCACCTCCGTGGTCTAGTGGTTAGATCGTCTTCCAGAAGAGCGGAAGGTCGTGGTTTCGATCCCGGCTTCATCATACCCAAAGATTGTACTTGCTGTCTCCCTGTCTGGCGATCGATCGGCTTTAAGGGATGAAGCAAGGACTGGTCGGCTCGGAATCCGTATACTATGTCTGTTTTGCATATCCATGTTAAACTGCGGCATGGTATCTCAGTGGGTTGATACTGTAAAAACGGCATAAGTCCGGACTAGTACAAGCAGCTGCACACACACACGCACGCACGCAGGCACGCACACACACATGTACACCCACACATACGCATAAGCACACGTGCATGTACGTCCTTATATAAATGAAATATTATTAAACGCGACGGTATACCCAGTTTCACCTAACCACTTTTGGTTTCTCAGTATTCAGTATTGTGGTGATCAGATAACAGGTCAAAGCGCCAAAATACAGCTCGACGAACCACACGCTGACGGGCTGCACGTAAGACCCTGCTTTGACATAAAGGACAGCGAAGTTACTTTATGCTTGGGGTTGTAAGACCCGCGTTGAGAGTGGAGGAGTAACATATCGCCGAGGGACTTATATCACTAACCACGGAGGATTGTCTTAGAACCTGTGTGGAACAATCTATTTTGTATTTATTCTTATGCGATTGCCTTGTTTGTTGCCGCTATTCTCTCGTCACGCATATGCAATGGCATCATGTGAATGTCACCAAGCAAATGGCTTTAAAGCTGCTGTGTTATCCTGAAGAGATCATGGTACAGCTGCCATCTTGTATATATTTGCTTTTGTACATTATATGTTAACCTCCCTCGGGGTTTTAGTCAGTAACTAATAAACGACTTGTGCTTTTATTGTTTATAAAACATTCTTTTCTATGTCAAGTTGACTAACGGGATCACTGACTTGGTTGATGCATGTCATCGTATCCTACTACCGTAGATTGATGCTCATGATGTCAAGCACTGGGACGTCCGGTCCCACTCGATTATGTACAAGCCGACGTCCAAGAGCTGGAATATATCTGAGTGCGGCGTTAAACAACAAACAAACAGAGCACAACAATCAACAATTGTCGATGTAAAGGTTGTAGAACCGAAGGCCGAGGTCGTAGTACACCCTGCGAGTCACATCCTGTTCACGTTAAACATGATACGGCCATACTATCATTGTGGTCCCCCAATCCTTATGTCAGTCCGTTCTTGTTACAGGAGCAAATCTCGTGGTCGTTGTTTATCGCACAATAAAACACTGCAGTTAATTTCTTAACTAGACGTTGGACTTCCTCTCACATTACGCTGATATGCCCTGATATAACTGAAGTACTGTCAAATCTATATTTTCCATTTCTTCATCACATATTGTAAGGCAAGCCTGGAACAGTTTCTCTCAGACACTGCTCGCCAAGAGTGGTGGAAGGGAGACTACTCCGTCAGGTTCGGGTACACAACACAGGCCGCTCACAGTACATTAACAGCTCACATGCGAGATTCAGGTAACGCCAGTCACTGTCACAGTGTTATGGGTGCAAAAGTGCTTAGTTAGGACGGTGCAAGGGAGACTACTTCTTCACGCACACTACACCTCCCCTACTGTTCCAAATGCTGCCTCACCCATGGCTCACATTCATGACAATTTCGTTACGGCCATTGCTTGAATGCGGCTAGCAAGGAAGATTAAATAGAGTTGGTGATAATCTTGAACAATTTATTTCAAACGACTACCATGCGTCAAATGTCACAAGTAGGGAATGCTGTGCAATGTATTTAGCCTCGTTGTAAATACATTAGTTCATGTGCCGACAGTGTGCTTAGTGACACTCATTGACAGTCAATACAAAGTTCATGTGCTTATTCCCGGCTCGAGGACAGTGTGGTCAGTGACACTCAGTGACAGTCTGTACATAGATCATGAGCCGACACTAGACACGAGGACAGTGTGGTCAGTGACACTCAGTGACAGTCAATACATAGATCATGAGCCGACACTAGACACGAGGACAGTATGGTCAGTGACACTCAGTGACAGTCAATACATAGATCATGAGCCGACACTAGACACGAGGACAGTATGGTCAGTGACACTCAGTGACAGTCAATACATAGATCATGAGCCGACACTAGACACGAGGACAGTATGGTCAGTGACACTCAGTGACAGTCAATACATAGATCATGAGCCGACACTAGACACGAGGACAGTATGGTGAGTGACACTCAGGGACGGTCAATACATAGATCATGAGCCGACACTAGACATGAGGACAGTGTGGTCAGTGACACTCAGTGACAGTCAATACATAGATCATGTGACGACACTAGACTCGAGGACAGTGTGGTCAGTGACAGTCAGTACACAGATCCTGAGCCGACACTAGACTCGAAGAGAGTGTGGTCAGTGACACTCAGTGACAGTCAATACATAGATCACGTGCCGACGCTAGACTCGAGGACAGTGTGGTCAGTGACACTCAGTGACAGTAAATACATAGATCATGTGCCGACACTAGACTCGAGGAGAGTGCGGTCAGTGACACACAGTGACAGTCAATACATAGATCACGTGTCGACGCTAGACTCGAGGACAGTGTGGTCAGTGACACTCAGTGACAGTAAATACATAGATCATGTGCCGACACTAGACTCGAGGAGAGTGCGGTCAGTGACACAAAGTGACAGTCAATACATAAATCACGTGTCGACACTAGACTCGAGAAGAGTGTGGTCAGTGACACACAGTGACAGTCAATACATAGATCACGTGTCGACGCTAGACTCGAGGACAGTGTGGTCAGTGACACTCAGTGACAGTAAATACATAGATCATGTGCCGACACTAGACTCGAGGAGAGTGCGGTCAGTGACACACAGTGACAGTCAATGCATAGATCATGAGCCGACACTAGATTCGAGGAGAGTGTGGTCAGTGACACTCAGTGACAGTCAATACATAGATCACGTGTCGACACTAGACTCGAGGACAGTGTGGTCAGTGACACTCAGTGACAGTCAATACATAGATCACGTGTCGACGCTAGACTCGAGGACAGCGAGGTCAGTGACACTCAGTGACAGTCAATACATAGATCGTGTGCCGACACTAGACTCGAGGAGAGTGCGGTCAGTGTCATTTGGTGACACTTAAAACCTTTTGGTGCCATTGGACCATTTATGGTCCTTTGAAAATGTCCCCTTTAAACTGTGAATTGAGACATCAATCACTGAGTGTGTAAAATCAAAATTATAACCAACACCACCCTAATCATCTTAGATTTAACATCGTGTAACTCATATTTTTTACAGTGCTACGGATTGCGAAATATTGTGAGATTAGTAAAGTGGTTACCGCGCTTCTCGATCTTTTCCTTCCATGCGAATGAGGGCGATTTTGTATTTTGCACCCATGTCACATACACGTAACCATTAACATCAGACAGCCAATTTGAAAAAAGAAATTGATCAGACTGCTTTACTTTTCCCTGCTGTACAGTTATTGACGTAAGACAACTAACATTTAGTCCGCAACAAAAGTGTTTTGTTCAAGTATAACAGTGAAGGACGAGTGATGTTTATTTATAGTGTATACGCATACATCTAGAATCTCAATGTAGTGTGAACATGACCTCGTGTTAAGTTTCCTTTCAACAAAAATCCATGTGACACACACACGCGCGCGCATACTGTCAGCATACATGTAGCTATTGATTTTAGTCCTGTGCTATGGTCTTTACTAAGGCTATTTAACCTGTACATGTCCTTCTCGGGAACAAATACCGTTATCTTAGACGGAAATGTTGATGTAATAATTTCGTTTATTGCGACGAGATTTTATTTCATTACTTCAGAACGATAAAGTGAGGGAGGTTCATATTG